GCTGGGTGTCTGGAATGGATGCCTCTCCAGCCTGGGTGGGTTAGGCAACGACAGTAACTCAAGAGGCAGCATCCTGGGCTCCAGTAGATGGGCACTAGCTGGGGATAATATCGTCCTGAGACTGAGGACAACAGGTTTGTGCTCCAGATTGTCACTGCCAATCACTCCCAGTTCCTCGACAAGCCAAATACTGGGCTACAAGTGACAAACTACAAGCCCGTTTTTACAATGTTAGTCACAGTGAAGGTGGCAGCACTTTGAGCTAATATGCACAGAGTCCCAGCCCCTCTGAGAATGGGTGCCCCATGGTCCAAACTTTACCCTGGTAAATACTGTCTCAATGCCTGGAGTTTAGCCCCAGTTACTCCCACAGCTCTAACCACATCTTTCTCCCAACACACAGGCTGCTTCTGCACCCGGTCCTCACCAAACCACCGAGGTCCACCCCGACGACTCCTACGAAGAAGCAGAACCACTCAATCCTCTCATACAGTGCACTGCAGGTATGCGTCTGGCAAATGTGAACATCACTTCCTGAGATATGACAGTGATTCCAGATTCACAGTCCAACTGGTCAATGGTCATAAAAACATGAAGAGCTGGAGAAACTCAGCAGGTCTGGCAGCTTCTAAGGAAACAGAAGCAGAGACAATGTTTCCAGTCCAAAGGCTTCTTACAACCAGGACCAAAGAAGAGTCAATCAGAGTTAACGTTTCGGGTCTGGTGGAGTTCTGAGGCAGGGTCATCGGACCCGAGACGTTAACTCTGATTTTTTCTTCACAGATGCTGCCAGATGCTGAGCTTTTCCAGCAACTTTGTTTTTGCTCCTGATTTACAACATTCGCAGTTGTTTCGGTTTTCCAAACAGTCATATTGGACTCAAAACATAAACTCTGTTTCTCTCCAAGTCTGCTTTGAATCTCCAGCACCTGCAACATTTTGTTTTTATTTGAGTGGCCAATGGTCAAACTGTCCCAGAACAGTTGTATATACAGTATTTAGTGAGCGTCCCAGGATATGGGTCAGTTCTTATAGGAATCTCTGCAAATCCATCAGTATTTATAAGGGGTCACCAAGAGTCAGTCCATATGTATAAGGGGTCTCCAGGGAGCGTGTCTGTATTTCCAGGGGTCTCCAGGGAGCATGTCTGTATTTCCAGGGGTCTCCAGTCTGCGTGTCTGTTTTTTCAGGGGGTCTCCAGGGATTGTGTCAATATTTACAGGGGTTTCCAGGGACTGTGTCAGTATTTAAAGGGGGTCCCCGGGAGCATGTCAGTATTTACAGGGGGTTCCCGGGAGCATGTCAGTATTTACAAGGGGTCCCCGGGGAGCATGTCAGTATTTACAGGGTGTCCCCGGGAGCGTGTCAGAGGATCTCCATTTGAACACGTATGAAATTAATGTGCTTCCAGAGTGTGCGGACTCCGACAGCAGTCATTACGAATCTTACGGAGAAGAGGAAATTTCTGGGAATAATCGTACAGGCTCTCTTCGAATGCTGCCCACGGACTCTCCCACACGGCCTCTGCCCCATCCACGGATTTGTGGCTTTCTGTGGCGGAAGAAGTGGCTGGGACAGTGGACGAAGCAGTTATTTCTCATCAGAGACCAAGTTCTGCTGGTCAGTTCTCACACACTCACCCATCACAGTCCTTCAAATCTTGCAACTTCCTTCACTCTGATCTATCCTTTCCTAGAGTCTCAGCCAGATTGCTCTATAGTAGACTCTCCTCCTTGCCCAAGTCTCCCCCTCCAGTACAGCCTCTATATCCTTACTTACTGTTGTCTCCTGCATTTACAATCTAACCTCAGCGCCCTTTCTGTCTCTGCACTGCACTCATGAATATACAGACTCACCCTCTCTCACTAATGCACGGTATTCATGCTCACAATTTCTCTCTCTCTTTCTCTTTCTCCCTGTCTCTCATTTGGTGTCGAGTTCGATGCCTGTCTCGCCACTGAAGTAAACAGGCATGTAGATGGCTACTTATATATTATATTGCAAGATAGGCATTATAAGAAGTCATTCAAATATGTGATCACCATTCAGATTGATCACTGAACTGCATAATGATAAAGATGTCAGGAGTTAGTTTACCATTGTGGCTCTGTCTTGATAGCTGTCTGAAACAGTTAATTCTTACAGTTCAAGCCTGCACTGCTGTCCATTATTCAGGGTACATTCTTATCTTTTTGAGCTTTTCTTCACCAGTGAATGGGATAATTCAACTGAGTCTGATTCTAAATGACAGTATCGTGCAGTGAGGAAAGATTGAGGAGAATAGGATTCATATTCAGGACTACAAAAGAATGAGGTGACTTCACTGAAATGTAATAAATTCTTTGAAAGTTTGACAGGATTGATACTGGGGCAGGGGGAACGATTTCCCTGGTTGAAGAGTCTGGAACTAGTTGTCATTGTCTCAGGATAAGGCGTCTGTCATTTTGGATTGAGATGAGGAGAACATTCTTCACTCAGAGGGTTGTGAACCTTTGGAATTCTCCAACCCAGACAGCTGCAATGTCTATGCATGTCTGTGAGGAGGCGATGGCCTAGTGGTATTATCACCTGACTGTTAACCCAGGGACCCAGATAACGTCTGGGGACCCAGGTTCAAATCCATCTGCAGCAGGTGATGGAATTTGAATTCAACAGAAAAATCTGGAATTAAGAGTCTAATGATGACCATGAACCCATTATCGATTGTTGGAAAAACCGATCTGGTACATTGCTTGGGGAAGACTCCAAACCCACAGCAATGTGATTGACTCTTAACTTCCCTCTGGGCAATTAGGGATGAGTGATAAATGCTGGCCTAACCAGCAATGCCCTCATCCCTAGGATGGAGTTCAAACAATAGAATGGGTGAGAATGCAGGACAGTCTCTGCCATTCATTCTCAGTATAGCTTCAGTGAGGTCTATGTATAGACTGGACTGTGAGACTTATACAATAGCCCTGTGTGTTTGGGTGATGAAGTGCAGATACTGACACTCTGTGTCCACGCCAAACCATCTCACCCATATCTGATGTCAATAACCAATCTGTTTCTCCTCTCCTGCAGTGTTATAAGTGTATGAAGGACCAGTATCCCTTGATGGAGCTCAGCCTGCAGGGATCCCGTGTCACATACAAGTTTAAACGCACTAAGAAGATACAGCATGAGCTTAAGATTACCACAGCGAGTAATGACACTCTGGTGCTTGGCCTGCAGAGTCGTGAGCAGACTGAGGACTGGCGGAAGGTTTGGAGGTGTTAACACCAGAAATTCAACTCAGTGACTAACTTGTACAGTAACCCTCTTTGTAAATGACTCACCACTAGAATGACCTCTGTTTTGAGTCACTAACCAGTCTAGGAATTATGGGTATGGCTGATGAACAACTTAAATCTTGTTATGGGGGACTAGCAGGTACATTAATCCTTGTTATGGGCACTAACAAGAACAGTAACAGGATCTATGTTAAAGGGTACAAAGTGGTATAATAATTATGGTTACGGGTACCTTATTGGCACAGTAACCCTCATTATGAATGATTCTTTGCGACATTAACTCTTTTTACTGGTGGACTAACTAGGACATTAAAGGAGTTAGGTGGATTCACTGATAATTACGGACCCCATGTGACTAACTCTTACTGTATGTCTTGTTCCAGGGAATGAACCGTTACAGTATCCCTTGTTAAGTGGCAGCTTGGCATTAGAGTATGGGTGGCACGGTGGCTCAGTGATTAGCATGCTGGCCTCGCTGTGCCAGGATCCCGGGATTGATTCTGCCCTCGGGTGACTGTCTGTGTCGAGTTTGTGCGTTCTCCCCTTGTCGGCATGCACTTCCTCATGGTGCTCCAATTTCCTCCCACAGTCCGAAGATGGGCAGGTTAGGTGGATTGGCCATGCTAAATTGCCCACAGTGTCCTGGGATGTGCAGGTTAGGCAGGTTAACCATGGGAAATGCCGGTTTATGGGGGATAAGGCGTGGGGTGGGTCTGGGTGGGATGCTTTTCGGAGGATTGGTGTGGACTTGATGGGCCGAATAGCCTGTTTCCATGCTGTAGTGATTCTATCATTCAGAAATCTGTCTGGCTCATGGCCAAAGCTATAAGCATGTGAAATATGGGTTTAACTCATGAGCAAATGGAAGGGATGGAGTTGGTTTGAATGACCTCCAAGTGTTCGCAAAAGAAGGGGGAGGAGTATGCGTCAGGTCATAAACTTGTTCTTATGGGACAATCAGGAGGATGAATCAAATTTTATGCTAGATGTTGCTTAATTGCAGAGTGAAGAGGCACTGCTGCATACAGGAGCAAGGTGTAGAGGCCAGAATTGGCCAGTTTTGTTTTTCAGTTTTTGTTTCATGGAATTAGCTGCACCCTTCAGCCTTGGGTTAGTGGTCGGGCAGTTGTTGGCAACACTCCCATATTCCTCAGTGACCTTGCAGGAAGAGGATGACTGTGGTAACAGTGAGCTGTGTAACTGGATCAATGCGCGGGAATTTTGGCGGGCAAGGGTGGGGGGGATGAGACAGAATCGAAGGAACAATGCCCGTGAAAAAGGAATCAGTCTGAAACAAATCTGGACTTGCCTCGGATGTTGCTTTGCAGGGCTTTTATGGTCTTTCCTTATACAGTTCTGACTGCACTGTCTTTAGGTTGTTGAAGAGGTGAGCAGCATGTCTTCCCGAACTTCATCATGGAATTCACCACAGATGCCAGGGACAGACAGTAAATGTGTCGCAAGCAAAGTGAGTCTGAATATACTGCTCAATGTTTGCCCCAGAGGCACCGACATTTTGATAGAGACAGGTTGGGCCAAGTGGGCTGATCCTATACTGAACATTCTATGCAAAGAGCTGAGGCGGCCAAGCTTGGAAAAGCGAAGTGAGAGAAATCCCACTGCAGCTCAAACCAACACCAAGAGAAATAAGGAGGCCAAGGAAAAGGTCAGGGGTCAGACAGATTCAATTCAAAGAGAAACTTGTAGGCTTGCTGTAAACATGAATACGTGCAAAGTTCGACCCACACCCGAAGTTTGTCAGGATGAAATTAATTTCTCCCTCAGTATTTAAATTCCTCTCTTTAGCATGTGGCTCGTGGCATCTTTACAGCCTGTCTGGGCCTCTGAACTAATGACAGTGCTTTGCTCGAGCAGCCATATTTTCTGAATAACGTGCCATGTTTTCCTGCAGTCAGCATCGAGAGGCAGTCGAGGCTCAGAGCTGGAGAGATCCCCAGGGGAAATGCTCACTGACAGCCCAGCCACCCAAGACACAGGTAAGGCCTCACTCTGCAACCTCCACTCCCTGAGGATTTGTTATTGTCTGTCTAGCCAATCTCTCTGAGAACAAACACTGCATTTCGGACTCCAAGCTGGGCTCAGAAGTACCCTCTGTCCTCTAAGTTGGTGGCTCTCGAAGTGTGCCCGTCTGCACCAAAATTCAAAGCAATGATCTGGAACACCTAAACTGGGGCCTTAGGAGGGCCAGGCCCAAACCCTCATGCTTGCCACGCATGTGGCATCCATATCAGGCTCCCGTGTGTGAGGCACAAGCGCGAGCAGCAGCAGCGTAGTTTTAGAAGGACAAAATGCCGGGGTTTTTGAAATCATGAGGGCATAGATCAGTTGAATAGCAAAGGTCTTTTCCCAAGGGTAGGGGAAATTCAAAACAGTGATGGGAGAAAGATTTGAAGGGGACTTGAGGGGCAACTTTTTCACACAGAGGATGGTTCATATGTGGAATGAACTGCCAGAGGGAGTGGTCAATGCAGGTACAGTTCCAACGTTTAAGAGACATTTGGACAGGTACACAAATTGGAAAAGGTAGAGACGACTATGGGCCAAATGATGGCAAATGGGACTAGTTTAGTTTGGGAAACTTGATCGGCGTTGAAAAGTTGGACCGGAGTGTTTGTTTCCATGCTGTATGAGTCTATGATTCTAACTTGTGATGCTCATGGATTTTGTTTAATTAATATTGCTGTAAAGTAAATATTAATGGCAATGATGATTTTATAATGATTCTGAGAAATGTGTTCCCTTGCTGTATTAATGCCTATAATTCTGATATTGGGAACGCGACCACAAACTCTGAAGCTGCTTATTTGAAGTTGAGCTGACCTACATACTCAGTAAGTTTTAAATGAGAGGTTACCCACTTTGGTAGGAGGAACAAAGATGCTGAGTATTTGTTGGAGGCAAATGGCGAGAGACTGGGAGGTGTTGCTTTCCCAAAGATCTAGGTGTCCTTGTCTTTAAGTGACTGAAAGCCAGTGCAGCACCCAACCCAGAAGACAAACATTATGTTCGCCTTTATCGTCAGGATTTCAGTACAGGAGCAGAAGAGTCTGGCTTTGATTGCGTTAAACACTGCTGAGACCGCACCAGGAGAATTCTGTGCAGTTGTGGTCCCTTTACCTAAGGAGGGATTAACTTGCCACAGAGGGAATGCAACAGAGGTTCATCAGAATGTTCTCTCAGATGGCAGGACTGTCATCAAAGCAGAGATTGAGGAGACTGGGTCAGTATTCTCTGGAATTTAGAAGAACAAGTGGCAATCTCACAGACTCTTACAAAATTCTTCAAGAACAGGATAAGTGCAGAAATGGTGTTTCCTTGACTATGGAATCTAGAACCAGGGAACTCAGTGTCAGAGGGAGAAGGAGGCCAATGAGAGGAGGAGGAATTTCTTCATCGAGTTACAGCACAGAAACAGACTCTTTAGTCCAACTCGTCCATGCTGACCAGATATCCTAAACTGATCTAGTCCCAATGGCCAGCATTTGGCCCATATCCCTGTAAACCATTGTTATCCACATACCCATCCAGATGCCTTTTAAATGTTGTAATTGTACCAGCCTCCACCACTTCTTCTGGCAGCTTATTCCAGACACGCACCACAGATGGCGTGAAAATGTTGCCCCTTAGATCCCTTTTAAATCATTCCCCTCTCACCGTAAACCTCTGCTCTCTAGTTTCGGACTCCGCTACCCTGGGAAAAAGATATTGACTATTCACCCCATTCATGCCCCTCATAATTTTATACACCTCTGCAAGGTCAACATTCAGCTTTCGATCAGCACAGGTAGATAGGCTGGTGAACCTTAATTAGGCAGAGTGTAGAAAATAGAAGCAAGGAAGTCTTTTTACAATGTTATAAAACACTGGTTAGACCACAGATGGAATAATGTGTGCAGTTCTGGTTGCCGCATTATCGGAAGGACGTGATTGCACTGGAGATGGTTCAGAGGAGATTCACCAAAATGTTGGCTGGGATGGAAAGTTTCAGTTAAGAGGAGAGGCTGGATCGGCTGTAACACAGGAAGGATGTGATTGAGGTAGACAATATTAAGAGAGACATAGACAGAGTAGATCATGAGAATCGTTTCCCCATGGCAGACGTATCTAAAAACCAGAGGACATAAGTTTAAGGTGAGGATTAAGTGGTTTAGAGGAGAACTGAGGAAAAGATTTTTCACCCAGAGGGTGGTGGAAATGTGGAATAAGCTGCCTGGGAGGGTGGTAGAGACAGGGATTCTCCCAATATTTAAGGAACATCTGGACGAGCACTTAAAATGCCAGGGCATAGTAGGCAATGGAACCAAAGCAGGTAAATGGGATTATAGTGTAGTTTGGTGTTTATTAGTTGGCATTGACATGGTGGGCCAAAGGGCCTGTTTCTATGTTGTACGAATCTCTGACTCAGATAGGTTTTTGAAATTTCAGGGAGTTGAGGACTACGAGGAGATGGGGCCTGATCAACTATGATCTTGTTGAATGGTGGGGTAGTCTTGAGGGGCTGAATGATTGTGCTCCTATTTCTGATCTCCTTATGTAAGTCTTTTTATTTACCAACACAAGTGATCCACATAAGCCACTGAGATATTAACAGTCACAAGTCTCTCATTCTCCTTTGAGCTACACCATGCATGATGTCGTGACATTGAGAACAAACAGGTTCAGAAAATCGCCTGAAAAGAGAATCAGCCTTTGTTCATGGATCTTTGGTGAGCTTCTAGACTGATATCATTGCTGCATTAGTTCCTGCATTGCCTTTTTGCATCCATTACTTCTTATTTGATGTATCTGTAACATTATTGCAAACTGGAGGATCTGGGTTTCTGAAGTGGTTCCATGCTGGAGGACAAGGAAACTACAGATAAGGGGAAGAGGACAGTAATTAGGGGAAACATGACCTACACTGATGGCACTCTGTCTGATCTGCCCAGGTTACCTGAAGGTGCTTGTGAACAGCCACTGGCAGACTTTGCGGTGTCACATCGAGAATCAAGTGCTGCTGATGTATAAAGATGTTGGCGGAGCTGGGAAGCTGCACTACTCTGTGGACCTGCAGGGCTGTGAAGTCAGGACGCAGGCTGACACGACCCACAAGTACAGGCTGATTGTCTCACAACAGCACAAGGATCTGGCAGTGCTACAGGTAAGACGCTCCTGGTTTTGAATGGCTTCTTGGGTTCAGTTTCAGTGATGTGTGGAGTTATCTTCACCTATTAGCCCAATCCCCATCCAAGCTGCATGACTGGTCACTGTTAAGTAATTGACAGCAGGCAGAGAGACCAGACTTCAGTTTGTCTACCATTCACTTTCATCCCCCCTTCTTAATGGCAGTCCTTCAAAAGCCAACTACGGTGGTGTTGCCTAAGAATATATGAAATAGAAGCAGCAGTAGACCATCCGGCCCGTCATATCTGCTCCACCATTTAATAAGATCATGGCTGACGTTTTTGTGAACTCAGCTCCACTTACCCACCTGCACACCATAACCCTTAATTCGTTTACTGTTCAAAACTCTATCTTTGCATTAAAAGCATTCAGCGAGGTAGCCCAACGGCTTCGCTGGGCGGGGAATTCCACAGGTTCACAGCCCTTTCTGGTGAAGGAGTTCCTTCTCAGCACAGTCCTAAATCTGCTCCCCCCTTATTTTGAGGCTACATCCCCTAGTTCTAGTTTGACCCGCCAGCAGAAACAACCTCCCTGCTTCCACCTTATCTATTCCCTTCATAATTTTATATCATTATATAAGATCCCCCCTCATTCTTCTAAATTCCAATGAGTGTAGTCCCAGTCTCTCCCCATAAGTCAACCCTCTCAATTCTGGAATCAACCACTGCACTCCCTCCAGCGTCAGTACATCCTTTTTCAAGTAAGGAGACTAAAACTGTGCACAGTACTGGAGGTGTGGCCTCACCAGCACCCTTTCCAGCTGCAGCATCACCTCGCTGTTTTTAAACTCCATCCCTATAGCAATGGAGGACAATATTCCATTTGCCTTCTTAATTACCTGCTGCACTTGAAAATCAACTTTTTGTGATTCATGCACAAGGACACCCAGGTCCCTCTGCCCAGCATCATGCTGCAACTTTTCACCATTTAAATAATAGCCCATCTTGCTGTTATTCCTACCAAAATGGATGATCTTACAGTTACCAACATTGTTCTACATCTGCCAGGCCCTCTCACTTAACCTATCTAGATCCCTCTGCAGACTTTCAGTGTCCTCTGCACACGTTGCTCTACCACTTATCTTAGTGTCATCTGCTCACTTTGACACACTATCCCCAACTCTGAATCATCCTTGTCAATTGTAAACAAATTTGTGAAGTTACTGTATTGGACAAGATGCAAGACTGTTTTAACTGGACAGACTGTGTTGGATTGGATGGTGAAGCTCAATTCAGTGTCTTCTCACAGACCAGCTCGCCCGAGGACAGGGATCGATGGCTCAGCCTCCTGCAGACAGGATGTGGAACGGACGCAGAATCAGCTCACCTGTACGAAGACACTGTCCTGCCAAGGGCAACAGATGCAGTTCCAAGAGGTGGAAGCCAAGTTAGGTCAGAGACCCTTCTCTAGTTTCCACGTAGATTGCTGCTCACTCTTCGTACTGGTTATTTGCATTTTCTCCCCAAATTTCCAGGTCATGTTTTTCCCCCATTCCATTGTTCCTCCTGCCTGATACTTGCAGTTTAACATGGGGGACAAGAAATCTGTCCCTATAACTACAGATCACCCTAGTATTCCTGTACTTTGACATTTGCTCAGCCCTAGATAGGGTATTTGCAGTCTCCAAAAAATTGTGGACTGGGTGAAGAGATTGGACATACTAGCTTTGAACCAATGAAACATGAAAAATTCAGTCACTAGTTGCTAAGTTCTCTGCTTCATTCATGGAGTAATTCTAACATTCCAAATTCAGGTCAACACAAAGGCTTTGTCAGCAGGGTAGCTGAAAGTATAACATTACTAGATTAAGTGAATGTACAGAACTGTGGCAAGTGGATTTCAAGCGATCTACTTTGGATTAAAAATGAATAAAACAGGATACAGTATGAAATGGTGAGAAATCAGAAACAGCAGAGGTTCAAAGTGACTGACAGTCCAAGTAGATACATTGGTAAAATATCATAAACAGATTCAGTAAAGCATCTAAAAGGTAAATGGGATATTGACCATGATATCTTGAGATCCAGAATGTATACAGGAGGGTATGAGTTATACAGCCGTGCTAGTGAAGCACACTTTTGAGCAGTTCTGGGCACCACACTTTAGGCAGAATAGATTAGAAATTAAGAGAGTTCAGTGTAGATTTTCCAGAAGCTGGACTTCAAGAGTTCAAAGGTGAGGAGAGATTTAACAATTGGAAGCCATAATCCCCTTGAATTTTGAAGCGTAAGGGGGATTTGAAGGGACAAGATAGAGGGAGAGAAAAACCATTTCTGCAGGTTTCAAATCTAGGACCAGAGGTCTAAAACTTTTTTTAGTTAGACTGTCAAGACTGAAGTTTGGATAAAATTGAACAGACAATATGATGAAAAATTGCAACTCTCTTCTGCAATCAGCAGTTAATGGTAGATAATTACTCATTTTAATTCAGGGATCGGTAAATGTTTGTTATCCATAGGAATAAAGTAAAAGATGGATACACGGAATAAATTCATCGATCAGCCTTGACCCCATTGAATAGCAGACCAGATTCAAGGGGCTGCATGGTCTTCTCCCTTCAGAATATAAATATTCAGTCCTGAATTTTGGAACTTGCTATCAAAGAGTTCTCGGGATCCAAAAATGAGTGATTACATCTCCTCTTGTTTCTGGGCATGAGGATCCAGGTCTGAGTGATTGAAGGGGTTTAATGCCCTCTTGGGGGTTAGAATTAAACTTCCCCCAGTCTCCTTACTAAGATCAGACTCTGCAACACCATCTCACTGATAAGACTGAATGTAACTGAAGTGTGCTGGGATGGCGAGGTGCTGTATAGAATGGTCTTTGGCTCAATGTGATATTTCAATTGTTTTCAGTGGTTTGCTCCAGCGTCGAATCACCACTCCCAACACGTACATGGACGATCCATTTGGCCAAGTGTCCAGTCAGAATGCCCAACAGGAGGGAGGCTCGAGGGCCACACAGCAGACGGTAGGTCTGAAAACAAGGAAATGAGTGCTTCACATGTGAGAGGTGCTGATATTGGTCCTGCTGTGGAGAAGCAGAAGGGTGGGGCGAGTGTTGCCAGATTAATAATCCAAAGAAAGCGAGATCAAATATCAGGGCCATTTGAAAATTTGAACTCAATCTTTTAAACAAATTTAGATGCTGGTCTCAGTACCAATGGCCACGATGCTGTTGAATTGTCATTTAAAACCCAAATGTTCCTTTAAGCAGAGAACTATTTTGGCCTGACCCAGAGAAGTCAGTGTCCCACCAGCATGACTGATTTTTAAAAGGTCCTTTGAAAGGACCTGATAATCCATTCAGTTGCATCAGCTATGGGTCTATGGATTGCCAGTGAATCTCCTTTTGCAAGAATTAATTGTTGAAAAGGAATTTTCTTTTTACATTTTTCCCTCCAAACAATGGCAGAGATGGGAACACACTTGGTAATCACAGACACGACGAGACACTTTCTACACAGCACAGTGGAGCACCTGAGCCTTTTCCAATTTGCAGTACCTTTGTGCCCACTGTCATCTCCATCTTCTTCCTGAACGTTCCTAACACCTAATCCATTACGGTGAAGAAGGAGCCATTCTGTGGTTGAACAGAAACAGTGATAGAGACAGTAGGTTGGTGCAGTTGCATTCACACAAGATAACAGAACTCCTATAATACTCCCTGGTGCAGAGTTCCAATTTTGGCCAATTTAAGGGATGGAATTTCAATATGAAATTCTGTTTCCCGAATCCACTACTCTGAACCACTCCCGGTCTGTCGTTCTCTGATTTGAGATGAACTCAGATGAGATTAAACCAGGTCTCGCCTTCCTTGATGGCTAATGAATACCACTTTACAAAGAGCTATATTGCCAGGTCTGATCCTTGGTAAACAGCAAGAGGTCAGAAACAAGTGTCATTCTTTCCATTTGTTTGTTTCCAGCAGGGGGTCAATATGCCAAGCCATGAAGTGGCGAACAGAGAATGCACAACATTTCAAGAGAGGGAACATCACAGCAGTACAAACAACAAAAACACAGCAAGATACAACACTCTGCCAAGCGGTAAGTGTTAGCTGGGCATTCTATTTAGCTCCTTCCTTCACCTGTCCTGTCTCAGTGGCATTGTCCCATCTCAGTGGCACTGTCCCGTCTCAGTGGCACTGTCCCATGTCCTGCTGATGTCGATCTAAAAATGACCAATAGATTAGTCATTAAGTTCCATATGTCGGCAGTTGGATGGTAACGTTTTGGTAATGTTATCAAACTGGCAATGCAGGGGCCTGGACTAAAGCACCATAGGTTCAAATCACACCAGGCAGCTGGAGAAGTTTAAGTTCAGTTAATGAATCCAAATAAAATGCTCATCCATTAGTAAAACAGAGGTCACCAAACCAGGCAGGATGGGTGTGTGATAAGCTGATCTTCTGTGATGAAATCTGCTCTTGAAAAGTTTTAGCCAAAGTAACCAGTGTCTTGAACACTGACAGCATTACCGTTGAATATATTCAGGAAAAAGACTTTTATCTTTCAGGCTCAAAAAATGTCAGCTAATGAACTCATTTGTGCCCTTCTCCATGAGAACTTTTAACATGAGTTGATGCAAGGATGAGAACATGTACTTGGTGTGGAGGGCTTGCTAACTGATTATTCTAATTACTCTAGAAGTTTTAACACATATTGTAAATAAGGTTAGATTTCTTTGATAATCTTATTTTTCTCTATTATTGTCTATTTATATGTATTTCTTTTATGAACAAGCAATGGACTAAAACTGAATTTCAACATGGAATTTTCTGCATCGACAATAAAATGGAAGCAAAGTGAGACTTCAAATTGTTGTAAAAACCCATCTGATTCATTAATGTCCTGCAGTCCCAAGATGATCTCATCTATATGTGACTCCAAATCCACAGCAATGTGGTTGCTATTAACTGCAATCCAAAATGACCTAGGAAAGCACCCAGTTAATAGAGTCATAGATTCATACAGCATGGAAAGAGACCTTTCTATTCAACTCGTCCACGCTGACCCAACATCCCAATCTGACCTAGTTCCATTTGTCAGCATTTGACCTACATCCCTCTAAACCCTCCTTTTCATATACCGATCCAGATTCTTTTTAAATTGTGTAATTAGATCAGCCTCCACCATTTCCTCTGACACCTCGTTACATATACACACCACCGCCTGCAGGAAAAAATTACCCCTCAGGTGCCTTTTAAATCTTTCCACTCTCCCCTTAAACTTATGCCCTCTAATTTTGGACTCCCCCCACCCTCGGAAAAAGACCTTGGCTATTCACTCCATCCATGACCCTCATGATTTTATAAACCTCTATAAGGTTGGCCCTCAGCCTCCCACATTCCAGGGAAAATAGCCCCAGCCTATTCAGTCTCTGTCTATAGCTCAAATTCTGCAGTCCCGGCAACAGCCTTGTACATCTTTTCTGCACACTCTTAATTTTGACAACATCCTTCCTGTAGAAGGTGAATCAACCATCAGAGGAAAATTCACCATGGGCATAAATAGGCCATGTGACTGAAGCAGATCATGGAAGCAGCTCACCAAAATCTTCTCCAGGCTCATTAGTAATAGGCAACAATTGCTGGTCTTGTCAGCAACACTCACATTCTATGAATGAACAAAGCTGGGACTGGACTGCATTGCAGGCACCAAGCCAGAAGCAGCAACGCATCTGTGTGGTGCTTTGATGAGCATTGTTGATTGGGATTTTTTTTGTGAACTCATGGGATATGGCTATTGCTGGCTGGGCCAGCATTTATTAGTTGCTCTTGAGAAGGTGGTGGTGAGCTGGCTTCTCAAACCGCTGCAGTCAATGTAGCTCAATGTTGATAGGGAGAGAATTCCAGGATTTTGACCCCGTGACCGTGAAGAAACAATGATATATTTTCATGTGTCGTTTGGAGGGGAACCTGAGGTTTGCCATGTATCTTCTGCCCTTGTCATTCTGGACGAAAGGCCATGGGTTTGAAAGATGCTGTTGTAGGATCATTGGCAAATTTCTGCATTGCATTTTATAGATAGTAGGCACTGATGCTCAGTGGATGCTTCTGCATCACAGTTACTGTGGGCCCATGAAATGAGGAAATAGGCGCCAGTAGAAGTTTTCATCACAAGTTTTCATTGCTGTACAATGTCGAAACTTTCAATTTCCCACTTGTCTAAACGAGATGAATGTGCAGATTGAACACACTCATTGCTTGGATTTAATCAGTCTGAAAGGGATGATCGAGAGGTGAAACAGCAAGGGACTCTGCTGGATGAAGCAATTGTAATTTCCGTGTTGTTTCCCACACAGCATTTCCTGAAACCAGCTTTTTAAAATCCTGGAGCGACTTTGAAATCAAAACATGTGGAGCTGAAAAGGAGCCTGTTAGAAATCAAGCAACGCAGACAGACAAGAAAGATTTCAAAGAGGCAATGGACTCCCTGTCTGGTAAGCAGTGGCCACAATATCTGATTGAAGGGTTTGTGCGAATTGTTACTGTGTTGATTAAATCTGTATGCCACACTTAGTGATGGAGATGGTAAACAGAATAAACTAAATACACAAGCCATGTTCAAAGCGAGTGCAGGTTAGAGATAGCAGTGAAACCATATGCAGTTCTGGTCACCACATCATAGGAAAGATGGGATTGCACTCGAGAAGGGTCAGAGAAGATTTACCAGGATGCTGCTTGGACTGGTGGGCCTGGCTATGCGCAAACGTTGGATAGGCTAGCATGGCTTTCCGTGCAGGAATGAACTTTGGGACGGAACCTGATTGAGATGTACAAGATTATGAGGGGTACAGATGGGATGGTTAGAAAACAACCTTCTTCCAGGAGTAGACAGGTCAATAACCAGGGGCACAGATTACAGGCTAAGTGAGATGAGAAAGAGGATATTTGTCACTCAGAGTGATTGCAGTCTAGAATTCATTGCCTGAAAGGGCGGTTGAGTCAGAAACTCTCTTAACATTTAAGCAGTATTTAGATATTCAATTGCATTGCCATAGCCTCCCAAGCTATTCCCAGGAGTGGAAAATGGTATTCGTGTATTTCCATCATTTTTTGACTAGTGTGGAATCAAATGGGGTGAATGGCCTCTCCTTGTGCTGGAACTGTCTATGATTAAAATACTCATGGTAATTTCCTAATTGTTTTAGATCTCATTGGGAGCCTTGTATCCCAGCAGCAACAAGAACAATCTGCATTTTTATAGCACTTTTAATGTAGTAAAGCACCCCAAGTTGTTACATTGGAGCCACATTGAGAAATATATATGAGTCAATTAGCAAATGCATGGTCAAAGAGGTCAGTTTCCAGGCACATTTTCAAGGAGGAAGGAGTGGAGGAAAGGTTTGAATAGGGAAGTCTGGAGAGTAGAGGGTAGTTGGTTGAAAGCGCAGACTTCATTGTAGAGCAATTAAAATCAGGGATATGGCAAGAAGCAAGGATTCAAGGGAGCATAGAGATTGTGGAAGGGGCTGGAGGAGATGACGGAGATAGGGAGATTTGAAAGCAAGAGTGGAATTGTACAAAAAGAGCCGTTGCTTAACCAGAAGCCAATGTAAGTTAGTCCTGGCCTTGCCAATGATGCCCACATCTCACAAAAGGATACATTTTGAAAAAGACAAGGGTGACAGGTGAGACTCAGTGAGAATTTGGATACAAGCAACAGCATTTTGGGTGTTCTCGAACTCACGGAAGATGAAAACTGGGAAGCTGGCTGGGAGTGTGTTGGAATAGTCAAAGGTAGAGGGGACAAAGGCGAGGATGAGGGTTCAGAAGGTGAGATCAGGTGGAGGCGAAATTGGCTGATGCCACCAAGATAAAAATAGGGTGGTCTTAGTGACGATAAGGGTGAGAAGTCTGACTCATTTTGGGGTTAGGTACAACATCAAACACTGAGAATGGTCTCAGCTCAATTTCCAGGCAAGGAAATGAAGTTGGTGGCTAAGCCACATAGTGTGGCAGACATAATAGCTTCAGTCTTCCTGAGGCTTAACTGCGAAAAGTGTCTTCCAGTCCAGTTCGAGATGTCAGACGAGCAGCCTGAGACAGCAAATGATTGGAGTGAGAGGGGCGGGGGGAGTGCGTGTGCGCACAAACTAACTCTGTTTTCAGATTAAGTCAGTGAAGGTCATCATGCAGATGAGAGAAATAGGTCCCTGACCTGTACTGCCCTCACTGACAATGTTATGTCCTAGTCCGCCCTGTGTTTGCTTCAGCTCTCCAGTGCTTTGTGAAGTGGCTCCTCCAGCTTTTTAGCCCAGAGGATGTTTTATGTCTTGTTATTTGCTTCTGACCTCCACCACATTGGGGCCCATTTCTTTAAATGAGTTGATCCGTTTTGTGTTTGCTTGTCTCTGTTCACATCTGACAGGGCGTGGGAGCTTGTTAATATTGTGTGTGTGTGTGTGTGTGTGTGTGTGTGTGTGAGTGCGCGTGCATGTGTGTGTCTGTCTGTCTGTCTGTAACCCCATACTGTGTTTGTTCTTGGCTGCAGAGAAAAAGGCCCTGCCAAGGTTGGAAGAGAAGATCCGTCGTCTTGAGCAGGCCGTGTACAGAGCGAAAGAGAGGGTGAAGTCGGGCTCTGAACTTAACCTGCTCTCCCTGAGCAAGACCTTCAAACGGGCATCCTGTGGGCAATCTCTGGCTCTGTTTTCCTCAAACTCGGAAGCGGCGGGTCCTGAGGTCTGAACAAGTTGTTAGAGGGTGTGAGAGGGGCTTTCACTGCTTTGAATGCTGCACACTCTGCCAATAGCTGAATAAAAAGACTTGCACTTGTATAGCACCTGCAACAACTTCAGAGCCAATCCCAACTGCTTTATAGCCACTGAGGTGCTTTCAAAGTGTAGCCACTGCTCTGATGGAATGAAATGCCATTTTGTGCACAGAAAATCCCCACAAACAACAATGAAATAAATAATTAGGGGTTGGTAGAAAGATATATATCAGCCGGGATACTAGGGATGAATCCCCAGCTCTTAAAATAGTGCTACTCAATCTTTCACATCCACCTGAGAGCGCAGACTGATTTAATAGCCCATCCATAATACCTGGAATAGACGGATTATGAGGGAAGGTTGGACAAGCTATGAGTTTAGAAGAGTAAGAGGCAATTTTATTGAAACAGAAAATCCTAAAGGGTCTGGAGTAGATTTAGAGAGGATGTTTTCTCTTATGGGGAAACCAGATCACTGTTTAAAAATCAGGATCCGGCATTAGAAACAGGAAAGTAGTGAATTTCTTTTCTTTCAGAGGGTTGTGAGTCTTTGAAACTCTTGTGCCAAAAACACAGTGGAAGCAGTGACCTTGAATATTTTTAAGGCAGAAATAGATGGATTCTTGCTAAGCAAATGACCAAAGGTTTAAGAGGTGATAGTGGAAGGGTGGAGTTGAGGTTACAATGAGATCAGCCAGGGATTTATTGAATGGGGGAGCAGGCTTGAAGCACCAAATGGCCTACTCCAGACTCAAATTTTCCATGTTCCAAAGACAGACCTCACAAGGTATTTCCTCAGTACTGCATTAGGAATGTCAGCCTGAATTAAGGGCTCAGATCTCTCAAGTGGGACTTGAACTCACAATTCAGCGCCAATATTTTCATGGCACTTGGCGGCTGGGATTATGGGCAGCATGGTTAGGCAGTCAGGTCAGTGACAACACTAAGATGGTCTCACTGCTGTAAACTGTCTCAGGCCTCGAGCTGTCAAACAAGACAGCCTGGACAGTGGTCTGTACAGACAGCAGGGTGGGTCGGTTGGAATTCGGAAATGTCTCTCCATGAGTCTCGAATGCATGACCTTACTTTGCCTTGTGCTGTACTTCACACGTACACAATGCTCTGTGACTTTTAAACAGAAGCAGTTATCTATTGGGGTTTGAAGCACTCTGTTTGACAAATCTCACAGCACTTTACTCATTTCTGACCTGCTCCCAGTACAAAACTCCACAAAATTCTCAATATCAATCTCAACCTATAGAATATTTCAATCTTTTCCCACCTGGTCAGATGCAGACTCTGATTACACGCATGGCTCTCACAGTTCAAGATCCAAACTCCACCGCTTTAAATGAGAGCTGGAGTCTGAAAAAGTAAGCTTATTGAAGCAAATAAAACGGACAGCTTTTCTCCAGAAGCAAATTTAGTTTTTGCATTTCTTTCCTGATATTCATTTATAACTGCCATTTTTACTTGACCCAGGCCAGACTCAATCAGATTTGATGGGATGCCGTCATTTTGGTCTCTGTGATCAGTCTCACAGAGCTACTGCCAATCTGCTTCAACTTGATATCAAAATCAGTGATTATGTCTAATTCAATTAACAGGGTCCGATAGTGAGCCCGATCTTAAGACGCACAGCCTCAGCCAAAAGCGCTCTGAGAAGGACGCCATCCATCACCGTGGTTGAAAAGGGCAGAGTCCTTCAGAAAACAAAGGTTTGTATCACCCACCTCTTTGACAATTTCTTTGTGAATTGATCTGTAACTCAGAGATCCTCTGGGGAAGAACAGGAGAATGCTGGATATCTACAGGTCAGGCAGCATCTGTGGAGAGAGAAAAAGAGTTTGCCTTTCAGCTCGGGGTACTTTTGGTCAGAACTGTGACAGTTCAGAGATTTTGACCACATGCCCCATTCCGTCATCTTTCTGCTGATTTATGATATAAAAGAATATCAAACTTCTGAGTTGGTAATGTTTTATTTTACAAAAGATGAGGCTCTTGCATCCCACAGCAGGGTCAGCTGTGACTCAGTGGTTAGCGCTGTTGCTTATGAAGTCATGGTCTAAAGTCCCACTGTGATGACAAGAGTGCAAAATCCAGACCCAACACTAACACAGTACTGAGGGAGTGCTGCAGTGTCGGGGTGTTGTCTTTCAAGTGGGATATTAAACTGATTTCACCCTTTTGGGTGTGTAAGAAACCCAATGGAAGTGTCGAAGTAAGTGTAGCTGTACAGCAGATTGGTTAGGTTGCTTTTGGAATATTGCTTACAGTTCTGGTCTACCTGCTACAGGAAGGATGTTGTGAAACTTGAAAGGGCTCAGAAAAGATTTACAAGGATATTGCTAGGGTTGGAGGGTTTGAGCTATTGAGAGATGCTGATCAGGCTGGGGCTATTTTCCCTGGAGCGTAGGAGGCTGAGGGGTGACCTTATAGAGGTTTATAAAATCACGAGGGGCATTGATAGGGTGAATAGCCAAAATCTTTTCCCTGGGGCAGGGGAATCCAAAACTAGAGGGCATAGGTTTAAAGTAAGAGGGGAAAGATTTAAAAGGAACCTAAGGGCCAACTTTTTCACACAGAGGGTGATGCGTGTATGGAATGAGCTGCCAGAGGAAATGGTGGAAGCTGGTACAATTACAACATTTAAAAGGCATCTGGATGGGTACATCAACCGGAAAAGTTTAGAGACGTGTGGGCCAGATGTTGGTAAATGGGACTAGATTAATTTAGGATATCTGGTTGACATGGATGATTTGGACTGAAGAGTTTGTTTCCATGCTGTACAGCTCTATGACTCTAAAGCATGGGATCTCTCCATGGTGTCCTTGACCAACATCCAGCTAACTTCACAAAACGGCCACTTGCCCATTGCTGTTTGTCACATCTTTGCTACTGAGACCTACACTAGAACTACAACTAGGGGGCGCAGGCTCAAAATAAGGGGATAGCAGTTTTAGGACTGAGTTGAGGAAGAACATCTTCACCCAAAGGATTGTGAATCTGTGGAATTCCCTGCCCAGTGAAGCAGTTGAGGCTACCTCCTTGAATGTTTTTAAGGCAAAGATAGATAGATTTTTGAACAGTGAAGGAATTAAGGGCTATGGTGAGCAGGCAGGTAAGCAGAGCTGAGTGCACAAAAGGATCAGCCATGATCTTGTTGAATGGCGGAGCAGGCTCAAGGGGCCAGATAGCCTCCTTCTACTCCTCTTCCTTACGTTCTGTCAATTCTGAAGGTCTCTTGCATTGGAAACCACAGTCCTTCAGCTCGGATGTTTAGTTCAGGGTAAACACAAGATGTGGATTTAGGCCCCAGGGTCCTTATTTCAGTGATACTTCATCTCAATCAAGACAGCAAAGGCAAACATCTCCCTGGTACAGTGTACTCCCTCACTGATGTGGTGCTCTTCTTCTGTTTACAGGAATGGGAAATGAAGTCTTCAGTCTAAGCATACATTAGCAAAATCGCATTTCTGCAAAGAACTGTTGTCGTGTGAATATGCCCAGTTTGTGGAAACTCGGCACTGTAAATATTGGAGTCAGCATGTGGATCATGCAAAGGAAAACAAAATACTGGATTCACTTTTGGTCTCTAACACTTAAAGGAAAAAGTAGCTCCAGTCAGGAGCCTGGTTTCCATTAGAGTCTGCAAACTGTACCAAGGGTGACTTTGTAATAAGATGCACAAAAATGCCACAATCAGACTGTAATCTCACTGGAGAGATGGACTCCAAAAGCCTACATTATTATCACTTTGATTCCAGAGTGTCTGTCTACTTTTAATGCAAGCTAATCTTATAAATACAAAATGATGTCATGTTCACTTTGGAAATGAGGGCATTTTAACCATGTTCCCCTCCAACTCCCAATTATATTTTGGTCCCATCTCCATTCCCTCCCCACCTCCAAGACAGGCCACTCTGCAACCCAGCAGCAATAAGACCATAGCAACTAATCATAAATGTCACCAACCCTCTGGTCAACTTTCACCTACTGGAGGTGACCAACTGATCCTTTATTCAATGCATAACAAAAATTTTTAAAGATCCTGATGCTGACTGTAGTGAGCATGAACGTGCTCTTCAAACTTGCCCGTCCTTTGCCAAGTACTTCATCAATAAGTCTCTGCCTGTCTGGAGTTAAAAGAAACAAGGCTGAGATTCCCCACAAAGGGAAAGTTGGTGATGGCCTGACCTCAGTATATCAGGCAAACACTTCTAAGGATTCTGTGTGATAACTCACGTGACTGGCAGCCAGTATACAATTGGGTCTTTTAGATATCAATCTGCAAATTGGTGCTCAGGAAGCTCATTATAGCCACATCAGCGGTAGAGATTTTTACAGTCATCCTTATGGACTGGGCTCAAGGGATGGCAGATTCAAGCCAGGCTTACCACTGCTGAGTGCCAATGAGTTACCAAAACTGAGGAAAGATGCAAGTACCAAGTGACTTCAGGGTTGGTGATACTGCAGCCTGAATAACCGACTGACATTGGCTGATTTGACTACCGCATCTACATAGGAGACTGGGATGACAGTTCAACACATTTCATTGTCCAAGGGACACTTCAGAAGGAGTAAAGAAACTGGTTTCACCAATAATTAAAACATGTATTTATCATATTGGAGCAAAATGACAGTTTGAATTTCACTGAACAGCACCAACACTCATGAAATTATCAAAATTGTACATCAGATTCTTGTCTATGTATTACATTTGTTTATAAAATTGTACATGGTACCATTTCTTTCTGCAATGATTTTTACCTTGTGGTGACTGGAGATAATTATGCCTTCATTAGGTGAAAGCACTGGTGATTTCAGATAGCCTGGGCTTGCAGTCCATCCTTCAATACTCAGCACCGAGGGAACATGGCATGGTCAGAGTCAGTACCAAGGGTATACCACACTGTGAGTTCCGAGGGGGGTGCTGCACTGTCCAAGGGTTGGTACTGAGGGAAAGAGGCTCAGTCTTGAGGGAATGCTGCACTGCTGCAACCAACAGTAGTAAAACAAATTGCCTGTTCACTATTGTATTGCAGTGCATGAGAACTCACTGAGCACAAATAGGCTGCCATGCTTCACACACTGCAACAGCCTCCAGGCTTCAAGATGTACTATAAACTGGCCTGAAGTACTTTCAGGCATTCTGAGGTCATGAAAGGTCCTATATTAATGCAAATGTACTTTTCTCAGTCAACCAATTTACCTCACTTAAGATTGAGTCCAATAAGTAGCAGATAAATACAGGCAAGGATATCCCAGGACTTTATGCTTACATTAATTAGCACCAATCTAAAAGAATGATAGTCCTCCAAGCAGCACAGGCTAAGGATTGACTGTGCAGGCGAATGTGTTCTCCAGCAAACGCAAGAGCATTGCAGAGTTCCACTGTCTTGATTCACATCTGTTGCATATGTCAGTGCAGTGTTTGTCTGCTTCTGGGGTGGTGGGAGAGAGGGGGCAGAACAAAACTCGTCCACTGCTTTTCCACAAGGTCAATGCAGCATCATTTGTAAACTATCACATTATCAACTAGAAAGAAAAATACTGCGAATGTTGAAAATGAAAATAGAAAACGCTGCAAAATCTCAGCGGGTTTGGTGGCATCCGCGGAGAGAGAAAACCTGGGGAGTTGTATCATCAAACCTGCAGGAACTCGGGCGACGAGAGATGGGGGACCGTAATTCACTCAGGAACTTTTCCTTGCATTCCAATTACTTGCATGAACTAAAATCCATGCATCTTAACCTTGAATAGTCCCCAACGTGAAAAACTTCGCAAAACCTCGTCTAAAAAATGTCTTTCACATTGTTGGTGGTCGTTTTGATAAGGCTTCAAACCTTGATGAGTTTATAGGTGTAGTTTAAACGTTTAGCGGTCACACCTCAAACGTGAGGAGTCCGGACACGAACACTGGCGTTTCTTTGGTCGGACAGGATGCTATGTAGGGAACATTCTGCCAACAGAATCGCAGGATTTGCAACTTATAAACGCAAAAGACCAGAACAGAGGGAGATAGTACACTCGGGGTGCTCCTCAAGTATAAATTCATAATAGAATGGCTGCTACACCTAATTACAGTTGGTGGAGCCGTAGTTGTGGAGAGCAGCCTTAAAGCAGAGCTACAAACCCTAAAACTACTTATACAGCAAAGATAGTCAAATCATTGTCAACATTTTACCAATAGTAGCGGCAGATTGGATTGCTCGTGTTGCACAAATTACTAAAAATGAGATAACAAGGTGCAGAGCTGGATGAACACAGCAGGCCAAGCAGCATCAGAAAAGCAGGAAAGCTGACGTTTCGGGCCTAGACCCTTCTTCAGAAATGGGGGAGGGGAAAGGGATTCTGGAATAAATAGGGAGAGAGGGGGAGGCAGATAACACAGTGTGGAGGTAGTAGGAGGGTCCAGATCCGAAACGTCAGCTTTCCTGCTCGGCCTACTGTGTTCATTCAGCTCTACACCTTGTTATCTCAGATTCTTCAGCATCTGCAGTTTCTATTATCACTAAAAATAAGAATTGTCTTTATCGCAACACTCTTAAATAAGGGTGGGCAGTGAATGGTTAAAGATAATGGAAGAGTGGGGTTGCTTTGACAGCTCAGAGATGCGGAAGGGGTTCTGAAAAGCCCTGTGATTCTCTGAAGACGAGAAGAAAATGGCAGGTAATTCTGATTTAACGAGGCCATTTCTTGGTGAATTCTCGCTTCTCAATAAGCAGATAATAACTGAGCCAGGGTCTGATAAACTGCCTGAATGTCAAAAGTCAGAATTAGGTTGCGGCCGATTGACATAATGCTTCACATGAACCAATTGTCCTACAGGCCCGCTGAAGTTGCTTGCAGAAAAGTACCACCGTAAAACCTCACCCCCATCTAGAACCCACCCAGAGATCCCACCCTCATCTGGAACCCAGTTGGAGACAGCACCTGCATCTAGAACCTTCCCAGAGACTGCACCCTCACCCACCCAGAGATGCCAACCTCACCCAGAACCTGCACCCTCATCTAGAGCCCACCCAAAGATCGCACCCTCACCTGGAACCCACCAAGAGATCCCAACCTCGCTCAGAGACTGCACCCTCAACTAGAACCTACCCAGAGATGCCAACCTCACCCTGAACCCATCTAGAGAACCTTCTCCTCTCTTCCCCCCCATGACCTGAACCTAAGACCTCACCCCAT